ATCCCCTTTAAAACTTTATTATCCAAACAAATTCTGAAATGTTTTAACTGGACTTTGAACTTTTCTTCTGACAGGTAACTTATTTTGACATTTGGAAATGACCTCTTCTAATGTTGAGCTTACAGTTTGTGCACACAATTACTATCCCAGATTTAGAAGCAAAAAACCTCTTAAGAATTTGTGTGCCTTGTAATTAAAACATATATAAAAATAGGTTTTCCCTGTCTGAGCTTGCTGAAACTTTTTATCTAATCTGACATCTTCCTAATTTGCAAATAAAAACTTATCAATTTTTGTTTCATTATTCATGACATGCACTTTGGCTGCATGTTAGAGAAGCAACAACTACTGCTGTAATGTGCTTGTGATGTCTTTACGGTTATAGATGGGGAAAGGAAGGAAAAAAACAAAGAGTTCCTTAGAAAACGAAAACAGTACCACCAAAATTGCTTGTCTGTCTGGAAAAGAAGATTGCATTATCTAAAAGCAGATCTGTGTGGGATATGCATTAGAATCTACAAAAGACTGAAAGCAAAACTGTTGCAGGAACTTGAATAGCTTCTTGCAGATTTTTAGATTCCTGAAGTTTTCATTTGAAGTGATAATGCCAAGTTTTCCTTTTGAAGAAGGATGCTATGAAACGTCAGAGGCCTAAGAGAACCGGGCTTCTCTTTCTCTCAGAGCGTCATTAAGATTTCCTTCCGCATACCATGTATTTTTACAGACGAGCAGCCCAATTCTTCAGTAAATGCATGCCAGAAGCCTCATGTAGATGTGTATAAACAGTACACAACCAAGTATAATTTACATTGTTTCAGCCTCAACATGCTTCTCACAAATTACCGCTGGCAGCTCAGAAGTGGAACCAAAAAGAGCAGATTCCTGCTCTGGATAAACACTCAGCAGTTCCTGAAGTCTCAGCACAGTGCCAGAGCCAGTCTGTGCACCAAGATCATGTATCTAAGCCCTGCACACAGGCTTGAAGCTTGCAGTCAACTCCACCTGTCTAGCAAGCGGCTCTAACTCCACCACTCCAAATTACAAGAGCTAAAGTGACTTTTGAAACCAGTGTAATTTAATTATGCCTACAAATCAGGCTCTTCACACACAACAGAAAGAGTAGTCAAAATGAAGGGATTTGCTGGTTTTTAAGTGCTTTCCAAGAGATAATAATTCCAAGCAATCTTCCCTCTCTAAAAATCACATTATTTAAAAGCTGTGATTCCCATTGGAAACATCTTACACCAAGTAAGGGCTGAACTGGCAACTTGTGGCGTTTGTTCCAGTTAGCCAGCAAAGCCAGGCCATTTTATAATTACAGATGGCTGCTGCTATTGCTGATTAATGCATTTGGATGCTCAGTCATTCTTACTGAAGGGGAGACAAAAACATTATTAGAGCTTTTTAATTTACTACAGGCAGAGCCCTCAGATAGCTGAGGGAAGTGCTTACACATACGAATATGCTGAAAATGGACAGATATGGACTCAACAAATATATTTTAATCTCAATAACATTTCAGGAAAAAAAGCGTTATTATACAAATTCAGAGTAAGGTCCGATCAGATTTACTTTCTACGTGAGATGACAACTTGTATTTAAGTTCAGCATCCCTCAGGAATTTTCCTTGAGTCCAAGTCTAATCTTTTCAGCTATTTAGTGTACTGAGCTTATACAGTACATTGTTCAGTATCGCACACTCAAAACACTGTATCATCACCTAATTAAATCCCCACCCTAACACATAACATTCAGGATTAGTTGTTGGTGCTGGCTATCTTTTACACGCTTCACAGCAAACATTATTCCAAGTTGCTGAACCAGTGTAGAGGGATCAATACTGCTCTTGGGCACAGACGTCTCTCCCCACAAAAACCAAAACAAGAATGTAAAAAAATCAAATAGCAAGTTTGCCATCTGGAAAGAAGCCAGCCGCTGAAATCTTTTTGTGTGAAAAGACGGTTTCTTAATTTTAACCTCCACATCCAGCTTCAGTGGAGGAGCACCTTCCCCATTTTTACTGCCATCTAAAGACGAAATGTGCTTTCACCTTGCTTTTTTCTTATTGTGACAACTTAGCCTGTGGTTTGCATTTTATAGAGATGCAGAAAAATAATATCCAACACTGAAGCCCTATATTCTGGAGCTGGAACTTGGTAGCACATACACAACACGTCAAGATTACTTTCTGACACAATCTTGCATGTGGTTTAGTTCCCAATTTGCATAGTACAATACTACACATTTATGCAGAACTAGTGAATCTTGGAGAAAACTGGACTAACTCTCACAAAATTTCTGAGGCTGGAAAAGACCTCTGAGATCATCAAGTCCAGCCAATGACCCAACACCACCACATGGGCCAGATCAGGGCACTAAGTGCCACATCCAGCCTCTCCTTAAACACCTCCAGGGACGGTGACTCCACCACTTCCCTGGGCAGTGCATCCCAGTGCCTGAGCACTCTATGCATGAGGAAGTGTTTCCTGAGATCCAACCTAAACCTCCCCTGACGCAGTTTCAGGCCGTGCCCTCTCGTCCTGTCACTCGTTGCCTGGCAGAAGAGCCCGACCCCACCTGACTGCACCCTCCCTTCAGGCAGCTGTAGAGAGTGATGAGGTGCCCCCTGCGTCTCCTCTTCTCCAGCTGAACATTCCCCGCCCCCTCAGCCTCTCCTCACAGGACTTTCCCTCCAGTCCCTTCCCCAGCCTCGTTTCTCTCCTCTGGACCCGCTCCAGCCCCTCAGTGTCTTTCTTGCAGTGAGGGGCCCAGCCCTGCACACAGGGCTCGAGGTGAGGCCTCCCCAGGGCTGAGCACAGGGGCAGAATCACATCCCTGTTCCTGCTGGCCACACTGTTCCTGATACAGGCCAGGATGCCATTGGCCTTCCGGGCCACCTGGGCACACTGCTCAGTGTGTATTTAGGTATATTTAATCTCGGCAGTATCAACTGCCCTATCTTATTTGTATTTATTAGTAAAATACAGGGCATTTAATTTCATAGTATCTGTTTAAAATAGCTGTAGAGCTGCTGGTTAAGAATGTTCAGAGCTTCACTAGCTTTGTTGTTCTAAATTGTGAGTAGATGAATAGTTGTCAATACTGTGTGATTGGAAAAACAAGGACTTGGGAGTTCCAATTTAAAACCAGACAAACCAAGCCTTCCCCGCACAGAAATCTATGTAGTACACTTTTCAGTACTGGAGTGAAATGAGCCTACGTATGGCATTTGTATGATGACAGTTAACTCACTCAGAAAATCCCCTATCAAAATTCTGAAGCTTCAGTTTACAGATAATAAAGATGGGTGAATACAGATGCAGTTTTTAAATATTTTACATTGCCACAAAGAGCTCATGGTACTAGGCTAAAGCTATGCTGTATGTAAGACTCTACATTTGCTAAGGGGCCGAGTTAAGTAGTTACTGATCATAAAGTTTCTTCAGAAAGCTGCTATGGTACAAGAAACAGATCTAACTGCTAGCTGCCCACACCACATGTAACAGATTTAAAATCTTCACATCAGTTTTAATGTTTGTAGTTATCCAGTGAAATCCAAAGACAACTCAACATTTCATTACACTGATCAATTAGACTATTTAATATTTATATAAGCTTATTTTATTTCTTTGCTGTACAAAGGCAGAATGCAAACCATCCCAATAAATCTACATCAGTAACTACCTAGACAAGGTACAGATATATACAAAAAGCCCAGTTATTTAACTTCAGTGTTGATACCACAGTTCACGCAGAGCTGGATGCAAACAATGCAAACAGCACCTACATGGTATAAGGCAAAACTCTCGATATTTACATCTTGTTCCTTATAGTGAAGGCTTCTGATACACCAGTTCTTTGTTACACTCATATTTGACAGTCCTGCTTAGCAGTAGTGCAGTCTCAGAACTGAAAAGTGCATTTCACTATTATATACATTCTCATAAGGACTGTGGATTGCTCCAGAAATAATTTTCAGATTTTCATTTTTAGAAGCAATTAATTGCTTATGTTTTCCATCATTTTAAATTATTTCATAACCTAAAAGTACCATTTTCCCAAAGCTCTGTAGATCACTTGCAACTGTGAAACAAAGCTCCTAAAAGCAACTCCAGGAACTGTTGTCTTTTGACTTGGACAGATAAGCAACCCTGTGAAAGCACTCAACCAACCCACTGCTGTTTTAAATTTAAAACACTTTGGAAAGCTTCAGGTTAGTAAGTTTGCAGATCCAAGCGGCTTTGGAACAGCTCTATAACACAGATTTGTACATTCCGTATTAGATTTTTGAGTTGTGGTTAATCTGTCATCTCAGGTGGTTTATATTTTTCTTCCCTTGGAGATCTCTCTTTGAAAGGAAAGTAAAAAAGAAAGAAATACCATTACTGTTATTGTAGGAAATAGAATTCTGAATCATACTTTCAAGCAAAATAAAGTAAAAAAAAAAATTCTAAGATTAAAACATCAACTCTTCCCCTCAACTATAAAGCAGCACTGCCAAAAATAATTTATCTGTTGTGTTCTGAGCTACTGCAATTCCCGCCACATTTATTTTTAAACCACAACATCCTGCAGCATCAGGGCTCTTGAGAGATGATATTCCAGCCAATCTTGTTTAAGGAGATCAAAATACTACATTCGTTCTTCTGTCTGCTCTCCCTTAGACAGGGTAGTCATGAGCAAGAGCAGCACGCTCTCGTTTGAAAGAGCATCTTAACTCTCAGGAGAAGCATTTCCGCTGAGCTGCTGGACTCTGCAGCCAGGCAGCTGAGAACTGACACACACTGTTTCATCCAGAGAGCGCAGCTCTGACAGGAAACCCGTAACAAGCCGAGGAAGGAAAGGGTCAAGGAACAAGAGCGCCTTGCTCTGTGTGCACGTGCCTGACTCTCTGACCTCCTGCTCTTGTGAGGTAACGCCACAGCATAGACTTCTCTTTCAGGCATTTCCTATGCTCCCACACATCTTGGCCCACAACTATGCCCAGAAAATTATACTTGTTACAGTATACTTTTCAACTTTATCAGAATAGTATGACTGCCCTTAAAAAAAAAAAAAAAAATTACATGGGGATAAAAAACTAAATGGAAGACTCTACCTCCATCAGGAGGAACTGATGGCTCCGTCTCAGAAGTGACAGTATCCATATCTTCACAAGTTTTGGCACTTGGTTTCTCTTGTTCCACCTCACAGAGATACACATCAATGGGTCCTTTTGTGCTCTTCACGTGTACTTCTATGCAATCCTGTAAAACAGTGACTTGCATATAAATTAAAGCCAACAGATTAAGAAAACATATCAGAGCACACAGCAGCTTTAATACTATAGGAAAGAAACTAAATCACGTTCCTTTAACTTCTTCCCTTTAGCAGATATCACATTGCAAGGTACAGAGCAAATCCAACTTAACAGGCAACTGAGAGAATACTCTGTTATTTTCAAAATACAGCTTCTTAGTCCTGCCTTCTTTGCTTCACGAAACCTCTAAAATCTTGTCTTTTTTGTCTCCACAGCGTGACAGCCAGGCTCCTTTTACCAGTGAAACCACTTGGAGATCTATGCAGTGGATTTAAGTCTTCTGCTTCTATAGATTTGTATCTCCTTTTCCTACAGTATCACCTCTTCTGTGCACATAGCAAGGAAAACTTGGTGACTACATAATTAACATTATAAAAAATGCTCACCCAAAAGGACAGCAGAATTAAAGTTCTCTTTGTTACCTTAAGCTTGCTTCCGGTATTCCCCCTCTTTCACAGCACTACCTTAAACAGTACGTTCCCAGTATACAGGCCCTGATGCCAGCACAGTGTCGCTGGGTGCAGAGACCAAAGCTCCTCAGTGCGACCTGAACAGGAGCGTGCGTGGTACGTGCTGTACCACGGGGGGAAGACAGGGCACAGCCCCCACCTCCGTGAAAAGTCCATCTTGACTGCAGTGCCAAAATGTTTTCTTTTGTTCAACCATACTGTGCATTTCGTGCTCTAATATGATAGTACCAATACTCATTAAGCAGTAAGACAGCATTTACATGCTGTTAAGATTGTTACTAAATCATGCTTATTGCTTTGTTTGGATTTACAATTTCTGCAGATTTTAGTACACAAACATTAACAGCTCTTTGAAAGATTCATTATCCTAGCAAATTATCAAACTGATAGTGAAAATAAGTAACATTTATTACAGCTGCTCCACTTACTCTAGCAAAATCAAATAACTACAGCTCAGACATATTTATTGTTTAATAGTTTAGGTAAACTGAAAAATACTGAAAATACATTTCTTAGACTATTATTCCTACAGCACTGTTCAGTGGAACATAAGAACAACAAAGTACTAGTATTATACATGACAAGGAAACTGGAAGTCAATTACTGATTGCTGCTGCAAAAATCAGATTTGAGAGATTTTGTTCCCTTAAAGAGAAATGTATAAAACTTACTTTTTTAGGAATTGGTATTTCCAATTTGGTTTCCTCTGGAGCTTTGATTGCAATCACAATCTGTCCTTGAAATGCCTGTATGCTACGGATATCTTGGTAAGTCACATAAGCTAGTGTATACATTGGTCAAGGATTCTGTAAAGTAATTTGCTAATGGGCAGAAGTGAAGAGGATGATATTAAGATGCGTTGAAGCAGAATATCAACTTAAGAAAAGTGGCAAATAGTTCAGCTGAGACAAGTTTAATGTTAGCTTTGTAAAATTAAGTATTAGCTAACAAGTGGAAAACGTCTTTTCTTTACTTCTAGAAAAGAAAAACATTTTACAAAATACATTTGGCAAACAGTTTTCACAGATGCCATAAGCCTACAAAGCAAAGGGAATACTGCCACTGAGAAACTACCTCTGTTTTGTAATAATTATGCATGTAAATAATTTTCTGGAAAATTACAGAATTATTTTCTTAACCAGAACAGGTAAGGTGTAATGAAAAGTTTTCCCAATATCATACACATTTAGGCAGAGACCTTAAAAACTGCTCAAAAAGGGAACTGGTAATATCTTAATGTAAACCAAAGCCAAATTCCAGTGTTTGTGATATTAAAAGAAATCCCTTTTCTATTATCAAAACCCGTCTTAAATACAAGACCACACTGGAACCTCTCTCAAGAGACAGAACAGTATTAGGACACAACCAACACACCCTCATATCTTCTTGCCAACAAGCCACTGGGACTCTGTTTTGGGTCTTCTTTCTCACCTTACTAAGCGACTCAGTCTCACCTGTAGGTCAAGACCTGTCCCCGAGACGACTTTACAATGCAGAGAACAGAGTAAGGGGCCGCTTCCATTCTTCTGCAAGTAGCACTCCCCTGAGAAGAGGCTGGATTGCACACAATACTGCAAAGCAGGTACATAACTACCGTACACTAATACAAAATAACGTACGAGTTTTCTATTACAAAGCTCATTATCAAATATTACTGCATACCTGCGGTATATCACCTCTTACCAGATACCTATGTACTTGCAACCAAAACGTTATATTAAAGTAATGCAAGAGTTAAAAGGATATTTTGCATTTTCTTTGTCATCCGTTAGCTCAAATAACTGATGAGCACAATCCTTTATTAATTCATCCAGAGCTTCTTCCATGGCTGACAAGTCAGAAAGTTCATCTTTAAGGCTTTGCTCGTCTGGTGCTTTTCCATCAAGTGGGTCAAGACTAGAACCTCTAGAAGGGTATGAAAATTGTCTAATATGTATCTCTAAATAAGAGCCTGTTTATTGTTATTAGACACAAAACATACTAATAGAAAACAACAAGGATCTCTGGCATCCTTTACTCTGCTAAAATACACTTTACTGTGCTTTTGCATTTCATACTTGTTACTAGAGGAAGTAATTCAGACAGCCTGAGGATACAGAACTTAAAATACTTTTATCCATTAAAAGTAATTCAATATGCTTCAAAATACTCTGAAATTTATAAACATTACTCAACAATGTTGAGTTTTATTGTTTCAGAAATTAGAAGTTTCAAAGCCAACTCACACCCACTGGATAAGATTCTTAGATCTTTTCTGAATTAAGTGGATTCCATCCAACACATTGGTGATGTCATACACTCTTCGTTTTCGTACTCCAAGTGTTGTTGCTACTTCATTTAAATCAAGGACACCATCTGGAGCAGTTTTGACAAGATCCATGAATTTTCGGGTCAAATAAACCAAGGATGCATCAAATCGAGGCTTTCTGACTTTCAGAGTTCCTGTAAAGTTTTGATAAAATATTTAGGGTAAGTGTTCTTTAAAAAAAAAACAAAACCCACAGCAATGAAGTAACCATGAAAAGTCTGAAAGCACTGCAACTATTAATAGGCATTGCAACAACATCATGTTAAGTCTACTAACTGCACACACCTTCATTTGTTTGCAACAATTGTATCTCAACAGCAAGCATGCACTCTCACGCTTTCAATGTTCATGACTTCAGACTCTAGTACAGATATTAATAGCTGTGCAACTGTATGTTCTGTAGGACATGAGCTCAGACTACCGAACGAGTACCAGTGAAACCCTTGGTTAACTATACGTAGTGTTAGGGCACTGTCAGAGAGCTCTATCATTTGCTCCATGACACTGTTAAAATGTTTGCTCACACCTTTTTCGCACAGATTAACCAGTAGTAACATTCAGGCATGGTTCAGGGACTGTTTCAGCATGGATGTGACCAAATCTGTTCTAGAGTACAAGAACTTACTATACGTACAAACTCTGGTTCTACTAGTTGGCTTCACGGCAAAAGAATTGGTCATGACATTATTTACTTATGCAACAAAGATCTACAGATACCAGGACACCACAGGTTTACGATAGATCCTTGTGCTGTGTGTATCCATTAACAGCATATTCACAGAAACATCAGAAAAGTTATTAATGAACAGCTTGTGTGATTTTAAATTGTTATTTGGGGCTCCCCAATTCAAGAGAGACAGGTATCTACTGACGACAGTACAACGAAGAGCTACGAGGATGATCAAGGGACTTGAACATCTCTTGTACAAAGGAAGACTGAGAGAACTGGGGCTGTTCGGTCCTGAAAAGAGACGGCTGAGAGGGGACCTTATGAATGTGTATAAATACCTGAGGAGTGGGGATCAAGAAGAAGGTGCCAGTCTCTTCACAGTGGTGCCCAGCAATAGAACAAGGAATAACAAGTGTAAGCTAGAACACAGGAAGTTCCACCTCAACATGAGGAGAAACCTCTTTACTGAGAGTGTGATGAAGCACTGGCACAGGCTGCTCAGAGAGGTTGTGGAGCCTCCTTCTCTGGAGACGTTCAAAACCCGCCTGGACACGTTCCTGTGTGGCTGCCCCAGGGGATCCTGCTCTGGCAGGGGTGTTGCACTAGAAGATCTCTAAAGGTCCCTTCCAACACCTCTATGATCTGATGCTAGAGTCAATGAAAAACTCTCAACTCCTGCTCTTGCTTGTCTTTCCTCCTGCAAAGCAAACCAGGGAGAAAGGGAGAAGAGGAAGAAACTGTCTTCCTAAGGAACTCTCCTAGGAAACATTCTATTTCAAACCCGAATATTTCTCCCAGGATGAATGAGACATGCACTTACACTGTATCACACCCCCTCCACAGCTACAACTTGTGGACTATTTAATATGAAGTGGCAGGATCAACAGCTCAGTTTTGGACTGTGCTACTGTGAGATATGGAAGACTATTCAATTTGCAAGAACAAACAAAAACCCAATGCGTATTCACTCAAACTTCTATTTACATTTGTTAATATCAGTTGAAAACCAACGCTTGTGGCACGATGTTCCAGTTTTCTCTTACTCACTTTTCCCATACCTGATTTTCTTTATAGCAATAGGAAGGTATACTTGCAGCAGATATAAAGAGGAAAACCTATGAAGAATGTGTTGCTTCATACCTGTTAATTCATCTAGTCTGCAGCATTCCTCCTGCTCTGCCTATATTAGATACATAACAATTTCTTGTTTGTTTACAGCATTGTACTCAGCATTATAAAAAAGTACAAAATACTTCAAGAATAACCTTCACACACAGAACAAGACAACTTACTTTTCACAATTGGTCTATCATTGTCCACATTCAAGTTGATCATTGGTGGCTGGGGAAAAAGAACACAACAAAACATAACTGACATACAACGATGATTAGAGATCATCCCTTCCAACCTAAGCCATTCTATGATAAAATGCGATCTACATAGGAAGTTTCTCCAGAGGAAATCCCTAAATCAACTCTAGATGCTACAGCCATCAGAGCACTGACAACTTAACACATATTACTGTGAAAGAGTGTCACTACATGGAAGGGATACATGCTCAGTAACTCCAGTCAGAATTTTCAACCCTTAATCTCAGCACATCTCCATCCTGGAAAGCAGGAAACATCACTGAACTCCCTAATGCTCATGCAATGGTCACAACACAAACCGATATCCATGTAAACTCTAGAAATAAAAGCTTCAGCTATTCCACGTAACAGCTCATGTACAGAAGATACACTGCTATTATACAGCAATATAACTATATATTACAATACAAGATCAGCAGCAGAGTCTGCTCTGGTCAGAAAATCTGACATGATGAGCCTCAGTAGGCACTCCATTCCAACCCTCACCTTAATTTAACATAAGGAGTATTTTCAAATTCAGACTCATTTCAGTTGGAAGAGACCTAAGAAGGTCTCTGGTCCAACCTCCAACTCCAAACAGGAATCGCCATTAGATCAGAGCAGCTTTCTCAAGGCTTAACCAATTGAGTCTCGAAAATTTCAAGGGATGGAGGCTACACCTCTCTAGGCATCCCATTCTACTGCTTGCTCATCCTCACAGTGAAAAAGTTTCACTTTATATCAAGCTACAACTTTCTTGCTTCTTTCACTTCAATTTATGGCTATTTCCTTTCAGCCTCCTATCACGCATGGCTGTGGATGCCCTGGCATCAGCTTCTTGTTAATGATGCTTCTTGTTAACTTCCTTGCAAGAAGCCTAATACATTCCAAGTAGAGAAGAAGAATCACTTCTCTCAATCTGCTGGCTATGCTCCTGCTAATACAGCCCCACATGCCTCAATGCCAGGGCACAGTGCTGAGCGCACGTTTAGACTGCTCTCCACCAGGACACCCAGGTCCTTTCAGCAGGGAGCCCACCAGCTGTACCACTGCAGGGTACAGTTGCACGACTTCACACTTGAATTTTTAGCTTCCGTGGCTGAAGTTTATGAGGTGTCTGATGACCCATTCCTCCAGGCCATGCCTGGCTGTCTATGGCACCTTCCCCACCCAGAAACATCATGAGGGTGCATCTCACATCCTCCATCGATGAAGGGGACAAGGGCCAGGATAGAATCCTGAGGAACTCTACCCATAACTCACTTTCAGGTCAAGTATGAACCACTAACCACTCCTCTTTGAGCCCAATGATCCAGCCAGGGTTTTTTCACTCATCTAGTAGTTTACACTCTGCAACATCCAAACTCCAAGAGGAGAATGCCGCAGGATACTCTTTCAGAAGTCCTAATAAAGGTAATGTAGATGACATCCAAGGCTTTGGATCTACAGATCTAGTCATTCCATCACCAGAGGTTGTAAGAATCCAAGCAGAGTCATGTTCGCTATTCCCCATCACCTTCTTCACAAGTCTAGAAATACCTTCCCAGAGAACTTGTTTCATGTTTTTCCAAGGGACTGAAGTGAGGCTGACTAAGCTGTAGCTGACCTCCACAGCCTCTCAAAGATCATGAGAGCAACCTCACGATGACATCAGCCAGCTCTCAGGATGTACCCCAAGTGGGTCCTATAGATTTGTTTGGTTTGATATTTCTCAAGATTCCTAACTTGACACTTCTCCATTGCCGATTGTTCCTCTCTTTGAATCCTATCTCTTAGACAAAAAGCCTAGGCAACATCAGTTCTGAAGATCCATGCAAGAAGTCCCACTCCTTTAGCCTTATCTGTGTCCGCTCTT